AGACAGTAAAGTCAGTCTAAGAAGAAGAACTCAAACCAAACAACTAACCAAAAAAAAAAAAAAAAGGATAATAAATTAATAACATATACAAAAGGTTGAGGTCATAAGGTCCATGTTCCAAGTGGACGAAGATACAACTATATTTGAGGATACAAATAAGCTTCTACAGAATCCAGGGGCACTGTAGCAACACACAGCTACATGGCCTAAACTTCATGGTCAAATGACAAGGTAAAGGAAGGGTTTGAGGAAATACAAGAATGCTACTTAAAGATGGGAAGTATGATTATAAAAACGCAAAATTAAAGGCAAAGGAAGCGTTTTCGAAATTTAAAGCAAGATAATGAAGACTACATATCTTTGTGTGACAAAATGTTTTAAATATATTTCATTGTTCAGGATAAGAGAATTAAGTCTTAAGACTAGATGGAAAGAATAGTTAGATCAACTTTCCAATAAAGATTAGGCCAAGGTGTTCAGAATACTTCTATCCAAGTTCGATCATGAGGTCAAGAGAACTTACTCACTCCCACAAAGATAATATTAGTAGACTTTGGCATGGATGTTAAGAGTACTTAACTACTAATTGAATAAAAATTGTACATACGTAGTGGAAGAAGAGAGTAAAAATGAAAGTAAATAGATGATATAGTAAAGAGAGAGAGAGAAAAAGGGTTGATGTAGTGAGCAAGAAAAAGTGAACAAACAAATTGGAAATCTAAATTGGTTAAAGTTAAGCCAAAGACCTTCCCCTCTGTAGAAAATTAATCCTAACCACATTCTAAGGCCTCGTTTGGTTGAATGTGGGAAATGCAAATTTCTTGGAAATGTATATTCCCATATAATTGGAATTCCTAGGAAATGCTATATTGTGTTTGGTTAACCATGGAAAGTGGAAATTCCCATGGGAAATTCCACTTACCTAAGTCTCCCTAGGTAATTAAATACCTCCATTTTGTGGGAAGTGAAAATTCATGGGAATTTCTACTTCCCATGATTTTGTCAACCAAACAACTCCAAAGAATTTCAATTCCTAGGAATTTCAACTTCCCATGTTTTTATTTGTCAACCAAACAAGGCCTAAGAAGTAGGTGGTAAGTAATCTCATTATTGTAAGTCTCTTCCAAGTACATGTCAAGTTCATCCCATATATATGAAGGCCTTAAATTAATATGACTTAAAGATCAAGACAGGAAAATAGAAACCCATTTCCGATGTACCCATGATGAGTTGATGATGGAAAAACTGCTCTTTTAGCTAAATAACCCTCAAGAATAAGGACCAAACACTTCAAGCTTTTCAACTTCTAACTCAATTTTAAAGCATTCAAGTTCTTCCCCCTCGTAACATTGATTAATTAGACATTGTATCATTAATTAGAGATTGATACATCAACATATACTTAATAATTGAGTTCAGTTCTGCATCATACTTCCTCAATAACTAACTTCAATCATCTCAATAATGAGCTCAAGAGACAGCTTCAAAGTAAAAACATCTGCCCTTAAATCTACTAACTCATTCTTCACAAATTCAAAAGTGAAATATTGCTCAAATCAAACTATAACTCCAACCTTCTGCCTAAACTTTGGCATGAAATCTCTAAAGTTAACAATATTGGTGCACATCTAATATTATCAAACAGTATCATACACAGAATTCTTCCTAGTTTCCAAATCCCAATCACTGAGCATCTTTTTCCAGGGAAGGTAAAAGCTTTGATCAATACTATAAAGTAACTTCATCCCTCCAATTTCATTAACCAACAACAAAAGGAACTACATAAAAGAACAGGCAAATTGGCAACCTGAATTCGATTCTCCTACATTAAGACTTCTCAGTTCTCTTCACTTTGCATATGATCAGACAAGAATTATAGCCGGGACATACAATGAAAGGTACAAAATTAAACTACCAATCCTTACTGATACAAACCAATGAACAATTGACCCAACTCAACTCAAAGAAGTGAGCATGATCCACCCCAAAAAAGTTGCCCTTAATTATTCCCCAGTGTCATTACAAACCCCCAAACATCAATATACCAATCAAAAATTAAGAAAATCAAATCCACAATAACATTTAATTATAAAAACATAAATTAAAATCACTCTAAAAATCAAAATTACCTGCAAAGTAGGGTTAGAACGATAGCAACAGTAGTACTCGACTGACAGAACTGCATTCATACCTCGATCTCCACAAACCCATCCCACAAATCTCCTAAAAAATCCAAACAAATTAATTAGAAGGGTCAATTTTCAAAACCCATGAAATAAAATTAATATTAATAAGATATAGAATGGAAGATTTACAGGAAATAATCGTAGGCGCCAAAAGTGATGAAATTGTGAATGCGTTCGATGAAAGTACCCTGAAAAATTGGCCATTGCCCACATAAAAAGGAGACTATCACTAAAGTTGTGATTATGCCATGGCAGACTAAAGCCCACTGAACCGCCATTGATGGGGGAGGAGAGAGAAGATTTGGTTTTTCAAGATTGAAGACTCGAATAAGGGAAGACTTGTAGTTCAAGGACTTGTATTGTTGTAAGTTACTGATGTTAAAGTTTACTAGAGATTTCTGGCAGATCTCTGCCTGTGAGTCAAATTCATAAATCGGCAAAATTAGTGAGTAATTAAATTTAACGTAAAAAAAAAAAAAAAAAAAAAAAAAAAAGTTTGAAAAAAATTACATTTTAAACGTACAAATTTAGTCTTTGATTAGTTCACCTTATTTTCACTAATTTCAGATGTAATATTTAGATAGGTTGAGTTCAGGAAAAAAATAAGTTGTGATACGGGTTATCTATATACTACCTCCGTCCCCGAAAGAAAGACCCTTTTGGGTTGATTTCACGGGTATTAAGAAAGTTATTGAAAGTATAAAAGTGTATGGGGAAGCAAAGAAAAGTAAATTGAAAAGAGAAATTTACATTGAAATTGCAAAAAAGTAGAGAGAGAAAGTAATAAAAGTATATAGAAAAAACAAAATTTGTATAGGGAAGCTAAAATTTCACAAATATTATTGCAAATTAGGGGGTATTAAAATGCAAATGGGATGAATATTTTGGGACTAAAATTAGGCCAAAAGGGGTCAAACTTTTGGGGACGGAGGGAGTACAATTTACGGAGTACAACTATAATGAGTTTTAATAAGGTATAATAAGTTCAGATAAATTTAGACAAGTTCGGGTAAGTTCTGATAAGATAAGATAGTTTCGGATAAGTAAAAATCAAATGAAAAGAACACACCTAACAAGATAACACGTATTTGTTTTTACAGAGTACTTCCTATGTTCTTTTTTACTTGACTTAATTCTTTTGACACGCTTGTCAATACAAAATTTAAGGATCAATAACTTTAATTCTTCTTAAGTAAAGATTATAAAAGTTATATATTATGATAGTAATTATTGAGACGAATTTAAAAAAACCCTACATAAATATGTTTTCCATACGGTCAATGGAGAGGTGATGAATAGTGTAAAAGTCAAAGCGGGTCAAGTAAAAAAGAATGGAAGAAGTATTTTTTAAAAAATCATATAATAAGGTCATACTCCGTATATACTTTCTCTGTTCCTTTTACAATCAACATTTTGACTTTTATACTATTTATATATTGTACTCCACTTTGACTAGGTTTGATAATTTATAGTCAAGAAAAACTATAGCCATGTGGATCTTTTTAGATTCGTGTCAGTTTATATTTTATTAATATATAATCTGTATATGAAGTAATTTTACATGTTAATAATAAATGATATTAATGATTGAAATAACGCATTGACAACGTGTAATAAAAAGTGTTGCGTTTAAAAGAAAACAATTTAGTTTGATTACACAATTAGTAAGTGGGTTAATATTTCAAAAATAAATATATTCAACAAGGTTGTAAAATAAATATTTAATGCATAATCTAACATGGTACTTTGTATTAATTTTAAAATACATGACAAAACCACTATTTAATCAGTGTAATTTTTAATTGCCTAAGGATTGTACTCTGATATACGGAGTGTCGAAGTATAATTTATTCAAAAAGGTTTTTTTTAAAAAAGCTAAAATTCATTAAAATTGATTTGGGTAATCCCAAGCCTCGAATGAAGTCCACATGCTTTAGGGTTAGCTAGGCCTAGCCCACAAGCTACGTGTCATACCATGCCAAAATATTCAAAAGGTCATCTAAGCCCACTTGCCACTATGTCGTGCTTGCATGCCTAAACCAATTTTCATTGCTCTTAACATGTTTTGTTTTGGCGTGTCAGACTTGATTGTGATTCTCCCAAATAAAGACAAATCATGGCACAACACACACAACATATTATGCCTTTTGGTATTGGGCCATACCAATCATAGGGTTGGCCTAGCCCAATTTCATATTTAAATCCTGTAGATGATAATGTAGGTAAGAAAAAATCATCATTCAATCATTGTGCTTTAATTATTGAGTAAATTATGTCAATTAGACAAATCCCACACACATTGCATTTTTTGTCACATATTTATAGTAAACTACTACCTACTATGTTATATAAAAAATACTCCGTACTATATTATATAACTTCGCCTAGACTGAAATATTCTGAATGCTTCAACATTTGTTTGAATGATCCAATTAAAAAATTGCTCTCTAAAAAGCGATAATAATGTTTAAATATTAGTTTAAAATAAATACCATAAATTTGGTTAATATGATATCAACAAGTCCACCTAAAAAATTCTGAATATGATATCAAGTCCACCTAAAATAAATACCATAAATTTGGTTAACATGATATCAACAAGTCCACCTAGCAATCTAGCATATTAAGAGATCACCTTTAACATTAATTGGAATTAGATGGATGCGCAAAACCGTCAAATGTGAAATTCCAAATACGTACTAAACGAAAGCTTCCCACTGCTAAGGCGCTAACCCTAATGTAGAGTGTCAACCTTTCCAGCCAACCCCAATAAAAAAAACAAGATTTAAAATGATTTATGGCAAGTTTTTCAAATACAGGCAAAATGATCGGAACACTATGGTGCAAAATGACTAATAAATACAGAAACTACTTTTTGACTACAAATGAAAACAATTCAGAAAATTCACAATTTTCCATTAGAAAATAGAAAACCCGATGATTAAAATCCCATAAACTACTAATACTACATTACATAAACATTATACTCAGTAACCCCCATTGATAGCTATATCTAAGAACAAAAAGGGGAAGGAAACCAAAACCAAAACCCCCATAAAAATCCCCCAAAAAAGAAAAACAAATTATACTAGTTTTAATTTCCTTGTTTTTAAGTACATCCGAAAAATTTCTAGAACTCTTGAGATTGAGTATTATCTCCTTTACCACCGCCAATCTTCTTAGGCAAAAGAGTCTGATGAATGTTTGGCAAAACGCCGCCGTTTGCGATTGTTACTTGCCCTAGTAGCTTGCTCAACTCTTCATCGTTCCTCACTGCTAGTTGAATGTGACGCGGTACTATTCGAGATTTCTTGTTGTCTCTTGCTGCGTTTCCAGCCAACTCCAATACCTATATCAATTCCAATTTACCAGAAATTTGTTAGAACAAACCCTAGAATCGCTAATTTTGGTAAAAATTAATTCAATTGAAGTGAAATATCAGCAGAATTAAATTCATTGAATGATTAATTGCAGATTAATCAAGTTTAATTGACATATTAAGAAATCATCGAATTTGCAGGTTTTGAAGTAAAATCGATTGAAACAAATCAGAATCTATTGTAAAACTACAAATTAATTAATACATGTGACTAAATTAAATCATTTGGAATATTAAGAACATTGATTAGCATCAAAAGCCGAGAAATTATAGCTCAAAAACTCCTCAAATCCAAAAAAATCAACCAAAACAAACGAGAAAAATCAATTCAATATCAATCTAGAATAATTCAGAAAACTCAAAACCTAAAAATCAATTTCAAAAACTTTCAAAAAAATACGATCTAAGCGGTGAACTAAAAAAAACACAGAGGATTGAGAAAACGAAATACCTCAGCAGCGAGATACTCAAGAACGGCGGAGAGATACACCGGAGCACCAGCACCGACACGCTCAGCGTACTTTCCAGCCTTCAAAAACCTAGCGATCCTACCAACAGGAAACTGAAGCCCAGCTTTCGACGACCTCGAAACCGATTTGGAAGCCTTAGGCTTGCCTCGGCCGCCTTTGGTGGATGCGCCGACTTCTTTGCCGCTCATATTGTCGCCGGGAACCTAACTGAGATCGGAACCCTAGGAGAGAGAAAATGATCGGTGGAAGAGAATTGCGGTGGTGGTGTTGTAGTGAGAGAAATCAGGGTTAATAATGGTGACTGTTGCGAGAGATGAGAGGTGAGTTTGGTTTATATAGAATGGTTTGGTGTGTTTTGATTGGTTGAGAGGGAGTAACACGGATTGCCAACGTGGCGGGATGGGGTCAAATATGGAAGTTCGCGGGAAAGGTTTGATTTTGTGGTTGGGTTCGAAAAGTCTTTGGATTTATAATTCCCGCTTTGTAAAAAATTTTCATGATGAAAAAATATTGGTCATTTTTTTTTTGAGTAATTCCTTAGTTTTTAAATATATTAAAAAATATATATATTAATATAAATTAAAAAAGTTCGTGCTTGTTCATGAGATTTTGAGCCAAGCCAGCTATGACTCAGACTTGGCTTGTTAAGATATTAAGTCGAGCCCCCTTGAACTAAGCTTTGAACGAGCAGTTCACAAGCAGGTTTGGCTCGTTAACACCACAAGTCATAAAATCTTATACAATTACGAGCCATTATTACAATAGAAACAATGAAAATCAATCAAAAGCATTTAAATGTTTATTAGATTATTCATTCAAAGTAAAAAATTACATGGATGAGGGACCCGAATAAATTAGTGAAGCATATCAGCTTTCCAAGGGGATAGCATATATGATGATCAACTAGTACACAAGGGTCAAGGGCCCTGTTTGGTAAATGGTTTTTCCTTGGCTTTTTGGTTTGCTTTTGGCTTTTCAACTTGGTCAAACAGCCAAAAAAAAGTGTTTGGTAAATGTCTTATTTGTTGGCTGAAAAAACAGTTTTTCCGCCAAAAATAAAAAATTACTTTCATATCCTTATTAATAATTAATAATTAATAATTAATAATTAATAATTAATAATTAATAATTAATAATTAATAATTAATAATTAATAATTAATAATTAATAATTAATAATTAATAATTAATAATTAATAATTAATAATTAATAATTAATAATTAATAATTAATAATTAATAATTAATAATTAATAATTAATAATTAATAATTAATAATTAATAATTAATAATTAATAATTAATAATTAATAATTAATAATTAATAATTAATAATTAATAATTAATAATTAATAATTAATAATTAATAATTAATAATTAATAATTAATAATTAATAATTAATAATTAATAATTAATAATTAATAATTAATAATTAATAATTAATAATTAATAATTAATAATTAATAATTAATAATTAATAATTAATAATTAATAATTAATAATTAATAATTAATAATTAATAATTATTAAGATAGGTCAATTTCCGCTAAAGTCAATAGACTTTGCAGGAACGGACTAAGACAAACAAACTCATCACTGTTTCTAGTATCCCACCTTGCCACACAATGGGCTACAATGTTACCCGACCTTTTTACATGAGAAATAGAGAACACACCACATAATAAAGAGAGGGCTAATATATCGTCAATCATAAGGAACAAAGGAGAACACTCATTAGATTTTTGCTTGATCATATTAACCACATTTTGAGCATCACTTTCCACTTGAATTCTTGTATATCCCAATCTTCTAGCTAACTTCAATCCAATCACCACAGCAGCAGCCTCAACCACCTCAACAGGCCAACCTTCACCCCCTTTTCTCACGCCAGCAGCAAGAACGTTGCCAGAATTGTCTCTGCCCACTACCCCAAGCTGGGTTTTTACTCCCACAAATGCATCGCAATTAAGCGTAACAATGCCCGTGGGAGGTGGTTTCCAGCCATTATCAGCAGAAGGAGCCATCCTCACAGCAAGAAGATGAACTCTTGCTACATATCTATTATACTCACTCACCATTTTTGATAAGTCCGTAGCAATGGCTGTAGGATTGATAGTCTCGTGCTCAAATATCATCTTGTTTCTGCACATCCACGAGGCCCAGCATAAGATTGCAATGTGGGTTAGATCCTCCTTCGTCACCTTTGTTTTCAGCCATAGAATTCTTGTGGTAAAGCTCTCCCTAGGGGCTTGCATAACCATGTCATTAAGAGGACTCAATTCCCAGATTTCGCGTGAAGCGGAGCATTCAAACAAAGAATGAATTATGGACTCCTCTTCTCTCCTGCAAATCACACATGTTTTATCTTCTAGGATATGCCGAAATGCTAGCCTCTCTCGAACAGCCAAGAAGCCCTTACACGCCCTCCACATGAAGTGACAAAGTTTTGGGGGAGCTCTCATGTGCCAAATCAACTTCCATACATCATCCCATATGCTGTCCAGTCCCGGTAGACTACTCGATTTGCCCAGCCAATAGCCCGAGCGTACGCTGTACTCACCGTTTTTGTTCGACCACCAGAACATAGAATCCCTTGGGCATCTATTAAAGAGAGGAATGGAGAGAACAACAACCCTCTCAGCAGCAGCAAAAGTATTATTCACCATCTCAACATCCCATGTATTGCTACCATGGTCAATCAAATCAACCACTCTCAAGTCTGGGTCGCTATCCACCGAGGGTGTGGGCAAAAATGCTGATGTATTACCAGGAAGCCAAGCGTCCCTCCATACACTAATATCACAACCATTGCCCACTCTCCACTTCAACCCTTCAAGCAGCAAGGATCTTGCCCCCCACATGCTCCTCTAAGCGTAACTAGGATCAAAACCCACACTAGACTCCAAAACATCACAATTCACTACAAGAAAACAACTTAATTTCGACGGAAAAATCCCGTCGAAAACATTGAAAAATCCGTCGGAATCGGCCTTTCCGACGGAATTTCGTCGGAAGATGTCTATCGTAACGACCCTTGTCGGAAATTGGACGTTTTCCAATGAAAATTCCGTCGGAAGCACCCTTTCCGACGAACTTTCTGACGGAATGACGTCTGTCGGAGCTGATTTTGACTTAAACTGAAAGTCCGTCGCAACATTTCGACGAACTTATTTTCGTCGTAAATGGGAAGGCTTCCGACGGAATTTGTTCATCGGAAAAGTGGCAGTTCCGACGGAATTGTTTGTCGGAAACGTATACCTTCCGACGGATATTTCCGTTGGAACCTCTTATGCTTCCGACGGATTAATCCGTCGGAAGGTATACGTTTCCGACAAACAATTCCGTCGGAAGGTTCCTGTTTAATAAGCAATAATTTAGCAATAATTTAATTATTTAATTCGATTTTGCTCACCTATATCCTGCACCTAATTTGTGTTAATTTTGAATTGACGATTTAAATATGAAAATATTTTCATATATATATTAACAATAATATTAATGTATATATTTTAATTTGTGCAACTATACAACATAATTTAAAACTAAATACATGTCCAATTATGTACACAAATTCTAAGCTACAGTACCTATCCCTGCACCGCCGCTACCTGGGTCGTCGTTCGTGGGGTCTCGACGCTGATGTGGAATGTTGGAACATGAGTCGTTGCTGGAGAATCGACACATCATCTCTTCATACCTCTCTTGGTTTCTCCTTTCTATTTCGGCCAATCGAGTCTCCATCTCGACTTCCATTTCACTCTGCATCGCTTGCACCCTCTCCTCCAACCTCTGCTCCACCCTCTGGTCCATCTGATCTTGCATCTGGGAAAGAAAGGAAGGCGTGTACTGCTGGGAAGACTTGGAACTCTTCCGGCTGCCGTAATACAGCTCCGCACCTTGGCCAAGTCCCTTCACACGACCTTTCTTGTTTCGACCACCTACAGTTTCCCAGTACAACTCATTTCGACTCTTCTGAATCCCTTGGGTGCTTGCTTCTTCAACTTTCTTCTGGTAGGCCTCCTACAAGATAGACATATGAAAAGTTGCACAAATTAAATATGTAAGCTAAAATCAAAATCCTTTGCCTATTTTCTACATTTGTTAATAAATGAATCATGTCTTTGTCATACCATGTTTATTATAGATAGTTTAAGATGTATATGCCTTGAAATCACAAAATAAACCAAGTCTTAAAGGTTTGGGAGCGAATACGACCAAAATCCAACCAATAGACCCCTAAATGACCTATCCTTTGCCTATTATCTACATTTCTAACTAAATGATCCATTTATTTGTCATAACATGTCTATTATAGGTAATTGGGATTGTGTATGCGTTGAAATCACAAAAAAAAACCAAGTCTCAAAAGTTTGGGAGCGAATACGACCAAAATCCAACCAATAGACCCCTAAATGACCTATCCTTTGCCTATTATCTACATTTCTAACTAAATGATCCATTTATTTGTCATAACATGTCTATTATAGGTATTTGGGATCGTGTATGCATTGAAATCAGAAAAAAAAACAAGTCTCAAAGGTTTGGGAGCGAATACGACCAAAATCCAACCAATAGACCCCTAAATGACCTATCACTTGCCTATTTTCTACATTTCTTACCAAATGAACCAATTCTTTGTCATAACATGCATATCATAGGTTGTTTTAGATGTATATGCCTTGAAATCACAAAAATAAGCTATTTTCTAATAACATGCATAGAACAGTTGTAAGTATTATTGAAGTTAATACCGTAATATGCTGTGCTTTGGTGTTGACTGGTACCGTGCCTTTCCCAGGCACGTCCTTGAAATGCGTCTTGATAAACAGCTCATGAGCTGTTGAGAGCTGCCCTTTAATCTTCGCCGTCTTTGATTATACATGTAGAAAACGATAAACTTTAAATGTTAGAGCACCTGTAGAAAAGAATAAACCCGACTCTCCAATTTAAACGGAATACATAACAACCTCTCCATGAACACATGACAATCATGGCTTTTCATTCCGTGGAGCTTACATGCTTGTAAATCGACGCATCTGCTCAAATTGGAGGCGTAACCATCAAGAAACCGCAGCTGTTTAACCCACTCACCCAAAACTTTTCTCTCGGCCTTGTCAAGAGCAAATGGAGCCATTGGCATGACCTCTTTTCCCCTATCATCTTGCTGAAGATGAAGCTGCGGACGTTTACAATATTTGGCAATGTCATTTCGAGCAGATGGCGTGTCATACGTCTTCTTTTTCACTGCCATTACAGTGTGAAATAACTGATCAAAGAAGTTCTTTTCAATGTGCATGACATCTAGGTTGTGACGAACAAGCAAATGCTTCCAATATGGAAGCTCCCACATCATGCTTTGCTTGAACCACCCCTTCTTATATTTTTTAAGGCGTTGAAGTGATTTGGGCCCATCTGTAGCCTTCGGAAGGTCTTTCACACATTCCCACAGCTCCTCTCCTGACATAATGTGTGGAGGGGCACCCTTTTCGACTTTGTTTCTACAGAACGCAGTTCTACTATTCCGAAAAGGGTGATTCGTCGAAAGGAACTGGCGGTGTCAATCAAACCAAGACACCTTACAACCATTTTCTAGCCAAAATGCTTTGCTTTTGTCCATGCAATATGGACAAGCTTTCTTACCAGATGTGGCCCAACCGGACAACATACCGTAAGCCGGGAAGTCACTAACGGTCCATAGGATGGCTGCTCGAAGATTGAAATTCTGTTTCATGGAAATATCGTACGTATGTGCACCAACTTCCCACAACTGTTTCAACTCCTCAATCAACGGTTGCATGTACACATCCAAGTTGCCCTTAGGATTTTTAGGACCAGGAACGAGCAACGAAAGGAACATAAATTGTCTTTTCATACACATTGAGGGGGGCAGGTTGTAAGGGGTCAAAATGACAAGCCAACAAGAATATTGTCCCCCAAACTTGCCATGAGGAGCGATACCATCTGTACACAAACCAAGCCGAACATTACGAGGCTCGGAGGCAAACTCTGGAAAGCAGTTGTCCAGGTGTTTCCAAGCTTCACTATCACTAGGGTGTGCCATAGTGCCTTGCACTCGAGGATTTTTCGAATGCCATGTCATTTCCTCCAAAATAGTCTTGGTTGTAAACAGCCTTTGCAGCCTGGGTGTGATCGGGAAATAAAACAAAACGTTCAAAGGCACTATACCCTTGGAAGTCTTCTTGTAGCGATCGCTACCACACGCCCTACATGTAGACAGCTGGGCATCATCCTTCCAAAACAACATACATCCTTTAGGACAAGTGTGAATCCTTTCATGAGGCATTTCCAAGCCCTTCACAATCTTTTTCACCTCATAGAATGTGTCGACCATTTGATTGTTGTTAGGAATTGCTTCACTGAGAAGTGAAACAAACCCATCGACACATCTGTGCGGAAGATTATACTCGCACTTTAGACTTGTGATTCTAGCGGCCATCTCCAACACAGACAACAAACTACCTTCGTATAATGGCCTTTCAGAAGCCTTCAACAAATCCAGAAAATGCTTAGCTTGGGCATTAGGCTCCTCTTCTAATGAAACACTAGCCTCTTCGGAATGCACATGATCCTGACTTTGACCAAACGCATCGAAAACCATTTCACGATATTCGTTGGACCCTCTTGCAGGAACTGTCGGAAAACCTTCCTCGTGACACATCCACTCATAGTAATTACGTACAAAACCCGCGCGAAACAAATGGAGTTTAACCGTATCTGGGTCCCAAAGCCGTTTGTTCTTACATTTAGCACATGGACACCTAACTTCATTCGGGTTACTACTTTCGGGATTATCTTTGACGTATTGCATAAATTCATCAACCCCTTTCTCGAACTCTGGATTAACATATGGCCCGACCTTCCTTTCATACATCCAGCTACGTTCTGTTCATTTCATGATTACAACTTCTACACAACTCACGCATATTAGTCACAAAGCGTACTCCCTAACCATTATCCATCAATCATTCATGAAAATGAAAATGAGATATAAAATGCTTCCAAAGGGTCCTTATCACTCCAACCTAACCCATCCTTGTACGTTTAATCCCACTAGTGAATGTAAGCTAGGTTTTCAATTCTACGGAAAATCCGTTAGCATTTCTCTACAGTTCTCCAAGTACACGATGTAGGCAATTAAACACACCTACATATATACCCAGAGAACACTGTAGAGAAATGAAAAGACACGATTTTCCGTAGAATAAAAAACAAGGCTTACATTCACCACCTAAGTGAGAATAAGCGTACAAGGACAGTCCCAACCGGGGACTATTCAAGACATACTCCTATTGTGTATGCCTTGAACGGGTATCTAAGCAAATGATTATGCAAATGATTCATTTATTATATATATATAAAGTGAAGGTCACATGCATTATACTAAATACAGATTTATTATAATGAAACTAAGCATACACTAACAAACACTACATTAAACTAAATAAACTAACAAACACTACATTAAACTAAAGTAATGGTGAAATAAACATAACTAAAATAAAATAAACTAAACTAACACACATTATCATAATGAACTAAACAAAAATATGTTAACATGTTATAATACAACAATTAAAAACTAAACTTAAATAAACTAAATTAAACTAACATATCATAACATAAACACATTCATTTCAAATATTTCAACATATTAAAATATAAATAGAACTGATTGTATACACTACACAGAAAACAATAATAAACTAACATATATCTAAATACATTTATCAACTAACATGCCGAGTATAAAATAAACTTATAATTTTTGGTTTTATATAGTCTCTAACCTGTAGATCTGCACTAATTAGTGCCAAACAACCAAGAAAATCTACAAATCCTACAAAAAAATGCAAATTAAACAATTAGGAACTAAGTTTGTGCTGCCTATGTATATTAATAAAATTTAAATGCTATAAACATATAATGAAAAAACCAAAAAAAAAAAAAAAAAAAAAAAAACAAACACACAACCTGCTGCAGGTGGTGGTTGGGCGTCGTGGTGGTTGCAGACTGGCGGCGGCCTGGTGTCGCGGTGGTGGCTATTTAATTAAAAAAAAAATTATATAAACACCCCCAAAAACACCAAAGCAGTAAATTAAAAAAAAAAATTGGCTTACCACTTACCAAGGCGGTGGTTTGGGTTAATTCCGGTCAACAATTGGTGTTTGTGGTGATATTCGGCGCAGCTGTGGTGAATTCCGGTGAACCCTACGGTGGTGGTTGTGGTTGTTAGGGTTTGCAAGATTTAAAAAAAAAAAAAAATTAAACCAAAGCCTTACCTGCACCGGCGACGACCAGGGGCGGCTGGTGGTGGAGCCGGAGGCGAATTCCCCTCCTCCTTTTCTCCTTCTCTCTTTCTCTTTCTCCCTTTCCCTCTCTTCCTCTTTCTCCCTTTCCCTCTCTTTCTTTTTGCTGGGTTTTGGGTTTCTGTCGCAAAGTGGGAAAAAAATACAAGGGTTTTTTTTTTAATTTGCTGAAGGCTTCCGACGGAATTAATTTCGTCGGAATTAACCTGTTCCGACAGAATATTCCGCTGGAATCGGAACAGGTTATTTCCGAGGAAATTAAAATCCGTCGGAATGATACCTACGGAATTTTCCATCGGAAGGTTCCGATTCCGACGGATTTTTCCTACACATCCAAATTCCGCCGGAAATTTTGAAATTATCGAGGGGATTGAAGTACGTCGGAAGAATTCCGTCGGAATTTAACCTTTTTCTAGTAGTGATTTTTAAAGTATTTTGCTTTGAGGATTCTATGCAGAAGAGTATCCTGGTTGTGGTGAAGCCGCCAAAACTGCTTTGTTAGGAGGGCTTGGTTGAAATAACGGAGGTCCCGAAACCCTTTACCACCCTTACTCTTCGGTTGACAGAGGAGATCCCATCGTTGCCAATGTAACTTTCTTCCCACATCTGTAGAGCCACACCAGAATCAAGCTAAAAGAGTATGGAATTCATCGATCAAAACATTAGGAATTTTAAATATACTCATCATATATGTTGGGATAGCTTGAGCCACAGCTTTAATGAGAATTTCCTTTCCCGGCCTCGATAACAGCTTCTCCTTCCACCCTTGGAGCTTCTTCCACAGTCTCTCTTTAAGCCCTGCAAATATCACCTTCTTTGATCTGCCAATAATGGTGGGGAGACCCAGATATTTTTCATGTTTTTCAACCTCCTAAACACCAAGAATCTCGATAATTTCTCCCCTCCGAACAGTATTAACATTTTTACTAAAGGTTACATCTGTTTTGCTAAGATTTACTTTCTGACCCGATGCCCTCTCATACTTACTGATGATGTCAGCTATAACGGAGCATTCTTGAACATTAGCTCTAGCAAAAAGAATACTGTCATCGGCAAAAAATAAATGAGAAACCCTAGGGGCTCCTCTACATATCCTCGCACCATGAATAAGGTTATTTGTTGTAGCTTTATTCAATAATGTTGAGAACGCATCAGCGCAAAGCAGAAACAAATATGGAGAAATAGGATCACCCTGTCTCAACCCTTTAGTTGGATAAACCAACCTTGAGATTTTCCCGTTAATCTTAAAAGAAAAATTAACACTCTCCAAACACGCCATAATGCGACTTATCCTCATTTCCGAAAACCCCATTGATTCCATCACCATCCCTAGAAAACTCCACTCCACCCAATCATATGCCTTACTCATATCTAGCTTCAAGGCAATATTTCCCGCTCCTCCTCCACCCCCCTCTTCATGTTTTGAAAAATCTCAAAGGCGACAATTGCATTATCAGTAATAAGGCGTTTCGGAACAAAAGCACTTCGATTTTGAGAAACCACCTCCCCTAAGAACCCTTTCAATTTGTTGGCCATCATTTTGGAAATAATTTTATATATTACGTTGCAGCAACTAATAGGCCTGAACTCTGAAATCAGCTTTAGTTCTTTACATTTAGGAATGAGAACCACACAAGTATTGTTAATTTCTTTTAAACCCGCCTCCCCCCTCCACCACTTCTTCACAAAAGAAATAATATTAGACCCTATAATATGCCAGAATTTTTGAAAGAAAAGAGCATGCATACCATCGGGTCCGGGAGCTTTATTTGGGTGCATCTGAAAGAGAGCAGCTTTGATTTCATCCCCTGTAGGTTCCCTATCCAACGATTCATTCATATCTGTCGACACGACCTCCTCGATCCCTTCTAGAGCTTTCGGAAATCCAGTAGGGGAGCTTGATTCAAAAAGGTCCCTGAAATATGCTTCAATTAGCCACTCAAGATCAACCCTCTGTTGCAACCAATTTCCATTTTGATCGAAAAGCCCATTGATGCGGTTGTTTGCTCTCCTTTGACTTGCCTTGTGATGGAAATATTTCGTGTTTTTATCCCCATCCCTAAGTTCATTGGAACGGGCCCTAGCAAACCAGAACGATTCTTCTTGCATATAGAGGGAATCAAGCTTTTCGGCCAGGCTTCTACTCAGATCAATAGTTGCGCCATCCATAGACCCTTCCTTTAATTCTCGGAGCCTTTTCTCAATGTCTTTTATCTTCTTTTTAACAGATCCAAAAGCCTTCCTAGCCCACGAGCTCAGGTCCTCTCCGCAACGAGCAATCTTACGGTTAATGCTTGGCTCTAAGCTTGCCTTCCAGCTTCTATCAACAACCGTTACACAATCCTCCCTTGATAACCAAAGTTGTTCGAATTTAAAGCTCTTCCCACCACCATCTGACGCAACCTGCTTCTTCAAATACACCATAATAGGATCATGGTCCGAACTATAAATTGGGAAATTTCGGACCTCATAATCAGGAAACAAAGACATCCACCCGTCATCTGCAAGAAACCGATCAAGTCGTTCCCGAATAAAAGTGGACATGGAATTGCCTCTATCCCAAGTGAAGAAATTCCCTTTGAAACCCAAATCTCGAAGATGGCACCGATCTATAGCTTCCCTAAATGCATCCATCGACCTTTCACTTCTTTGCACCCCACCCTCCTTTTCAGTCAAGCTTGTTATCTCATTAAATTCACCAAACATAATACATGGCAATGAGCTACATGATTTTAAAGAAGACATCAATGTCCAAGTATTATGTTTCTGATATTGTTCGGCCCAACATAAATACCAATCGCTCTCCATTTAGGAGTATTATTATCATCCAGAATATTCACATCAAAATGGTGATCGAAAAAGGATACAACCTTTGCATTTATATCATTCCACCACAATCCCATCCCTCCCGAGTTACCGACACTACTAATACACAAACCATTAGAAAAACCACATCTATTTTTTATTTTGTTTAATACAGTACTATCAATCATAGACTCCATAACAAAAACCAAATTCGGCCTCTCCCTCCAACATTTATCTTGGAGGGCACGAACTCATCTCGGGTTGCCAAGCCCGTGGCAGTTCTAACTTATAATTTTCATGGCTTTTTGAGGGATTGGTAATGACCAAGACCCTCTACTTGAAATGAGTCATTGAATGATATATCTAGATGAGAAACTATACCTCTTTTCTCACGAGCCATCTCAACACTATTAACATCGAACTCGCTGTCACATGCTTTCCTTTTAGCGCTCCTTTGCTCGAGTCCGATATATTCACGGGTGTCCATCTCCTCCACACCATCAAATTCAGTTTGCAGAGCCTTCTTTTCCACATTCTCCCTGTCCAACCTAACCTCCTCTTCACCTTGACATTCCCCTGTTCCCACCTTCTCACCACCGGCTATGTCACGAGAATCTTCAGCCACCCGCATCACCCCATGCTCATCCTCCTTGGTCTCTGCACCATCCATTCTCGATGCCCTTAGAGGCGGCATTTGCATATTAGTCTCAGCAGCTACAGGTTGAAGAACAACCTTCGAACCACTCTCTCCATCCATAGC